CATCAAATCGCTTAACGATTGCGGGGATGCAAATTTGGGATATTTGAAAACAGACTTTCATCAGTTTTATTGCAGACGATAAGTGTGACATTGGCATTGTACAGTGCGCAGTCGCTTTACCACAGGGAGCTAGAGAGAGCATGCTGCACTGCGTATGCAACAGGTTCGTCCGAATTTTTATTATTTTAAAGTTCGTTTTTTGCAGCTTCGACAAGTTCTGCAATTTCTGTCCAGGGAAGCCTTGTTGTTAAAGGCCTCCACAGCATTACTGTTTGGTACAGTGCTTAATATGTGCACAAATTGTTGTGGTCTCCGATTTATTAATTATAATGTCAAAAGTTTGCGTACTTGAAATCTAGATGCACACAGGGGCTAATTTACACAGGGGTAGGGAGCATTATTCTAAAATTTTAACTCCTAGCTTTTTTATTTTCCGAGTTAATTTTTGCGCCGAAACTTTCACGCACCCTCACGTGAAGTCAGAGCGCACGTGTGGCTGGTTTTAAACTTACGCGGTCGTAGGCGAGCAGGGAACATTCACCAAAATTTCAGCTTCCTAGCTTTTCTAGTTTCTGAATTAAATAATTACGTCTTTGCCGGTCAGCAAGGTCACTAAGCCTCTTGGACAGTCGCTATGGATGTCCGGTGTTTATGGGGTACAGCTGTTGTGTCTGGTCGTTCCGTTCCTAGTTGCTTGCTGAGTTTGTGTTCAACGCTAGGTCTGTGTATGTGCTGCATCTCTTCTAGGGCTGTCGAATGCTTTTTTATTTTTTCGGAATGGATCACCTATTCCACGCTAACCGCTTCATTTAAACGCATGTTTTTGTTCTTTCCTGGAAAGTCTAATTCTTTCCACCACACGGGTGAACTCGGGAGCTTAAGCCTGTCGAGGACTGGTGTTCCGAGATCGACCTGTTCTGTTTTCAGTAGCACTTCTGCTGTTAAATCCGGTTTGGCAGTATCAGCAAGTGCCTCAAAAAATCGGTGGTTGCATCCGTTCAGTATATTTTGCAACGGAAGATATTGCTCGGCGATTCGTCTTTTTTCCAATTTATTCGGTGTACAGGGTGTTTGACTACGTTTTGATGCTACGATGGTTGCCCGGTCTGTTTTCTTCCCTGAACTTTCTTACTCTTAAAATGTTGAAGTGTTTTTTGTATCCTAATTCACTGTAGCTATTACCATTGGGGAAAGCGTGATACGGTCTCGTTACGTTTCCACCCTGTCTTGGTACTGCCTCGTCATTTGCTACTTTCACAATGATGAGGTACTTGAGACAGGATTTTATGAGTTTTGATACGAATACATATATGCATGCCTCATCTATACATACGTATACGCATACCAAATCTGTATGTGCTACATACATACAGATTACGTCTGGTGACAAGAATTGCAGATGCAATAACACCAGCACATAATTCGGACCTATCCTTCTAGAATTTTGTTCTCTCAGTCTGTTTCTGAGGTCATTTTTTATTATTCTTAGCTGCCACGGTTGTGGGGACATTTTCTTCCCAGCTCTTCAGGCTCTGCTTTTTTGAATAACTGCTACCTTCTGCCGATGGTAATAGTTCTCGAGGTCTGATATACTTACAAACTTCCTGCTCCGCGTTTTCATGTTTCCTCCCTTGTCATCTTTTTTGTAAATTTCTTAAAGTTACACACCTCAGACAGTTCCAGCGGTTACTTTTCCACTGCCCTGTTTCTTCTTTCAGTCGGTGTTGTTGGCAGCTTTCTGGCTTAAATTCACCATATCCAAGTGAATTTTGACGATACTTCCCTTATTTGCATTACACTTTGTAGCATTCAGGCACCGCGTTTCTGCCATCCGGTAATTCATTTCTGGTGATGCTCTCCCCGGTCAAACGTTTGTCCCAGCTCGTCTTTCTGGCTCCAGTAGCGCCCTCTTGTCAAAGTCTATAAATAAGTGCAAAATCGGCCTCTGTTTCAGTACTCGTGGGAAAATTGAGCAGCGTTTTGCTGAGGATACGAGCAGCAATAAACAGTGCTTACGTCTCACTGCTTACCACACTACGCGACGCAAGAGATGCTGGCCTGAACTCTGTGCTTTGTGCTGTACTCGCCATCAAAACACTTATTCGACGCATCGTTATTGGGATGAGAAATGCAGTTTGTGGATTTATTACTGCTATCCGAGACGGAATCACTGGAGCATTTGTATCTTGCAAAAATACTCTTATGAATTCTGCAATTTTTTTAAGAAACTGTTTTATTTCGTTCTTATTAGCTGTTCGTGATCGAACTGTACACTTTGCGACGGCAGCAACAAATGGAATACTTTCTATAATAATAGCCTTCAAAGGTGGACTATTTTCTGGATTCTCCGCGGTAAAAACTGGCGTAGTTTCTATTGTGGTAACTGCTAAAAACGCAATTACTGCGATGTTTCTACGAATCGTAAATGCTGTTCATTATACTGCTATCACTATGGCTGCATTCATTCGTCAAAAATTATTTGCCTGTGAAAGATTGATTTTATCTTTTTACCGTTCCGTCGTAAACTGGACGAAAACAAAAATCGTGCAGCCGATTGTGGATTCCTACCAGGCAACCATCAGTTTTTTACGTTATTGGTTAGGCGCCCAGTGGTGGCCGAGCCTCAAATCTTGGATTATTTTGAATATTGGCCGTCGATTACAACGTCTTTTCAATTATTTCTGCTTCGGTCTAGTTTATATTTTCTGTGGCTATTGGGTCGAGCCGGTCTCTGCTTTCCTCAGTCGAAATTTGCAGCGCTTCTATGGCTATTTCAAACGGACTGTCCTCATTCCCCTGAAGATGCAAGTTTCTCCCTACATTTTACCTTTTTTTCAAAAAATTGAAAAATATTATCGTTCAGGTATTCGAATTTCCGCCCTTTATTCTCAAGCTCTTATTAAAAAATTTTGTGCAGCTTTAACGAGAAAAGTGTTCGTTCGGCTATACAGTTATTTGGCATTAAATTTTAAATGAGCTGGATTCTTTATTCATCCAGCTCTTCCTGGAATTGAGCGACAAATTTGTAGTCCGATCATGCTGTGAGTTCTTGGCCCTCATCCCCGGTGCTTAGCTGTGGTACTCATCTACTCGGGGCCACACGACTACAGCACTGATGCGGTGAATATGGAAAAGGCACGAACTGATTCTGAGTTGGAGTGGTCAGAATTGTTTTCCATCATTTATGGGTGCGGAACTCTTT